GCCCGGAGCAGATGCAGCTGCCCGTTGGGGAGCACCTTCAGCCCGGGCCCTGCAGGGATGGACAGGAGTGAAGGGCAGGACAGGGGGGTGCAGCGGTGCTGGGGGGTGGATGGACGGTGCGCAGGGATGGCTTCCCCTGCAGAAGTGCCTCTTTCTGTGGACCTCCCGGGGAACGGCTCCGGTGGCCGCAGCATCCACCTCGGATGGCAGCCGGGAACCGGGAGGACCCATGCACAGTGACACCCCGCACCTTGCTGGGATGCTTACAACCTCCAGGCACCCAAATCTTCCCCCTTGCCAGGGGCTGGCAGCAACATGGGCTCTGCCAGCCTCCAGCGTGCTCCTGCTCACCTCTGGTGATGCTGACACCGTCCTTCTGCCAGGTGAGCTCTGGCCGGGGGACCCCGGTTGCCTCACAGGACAGCACCGTGCTGGTGTTGACCATCACCATCACCATGCCAGGCAGGGGCTTCAAGGCAGGGGGCTCTGCGAGCAGCAGGGAAGCGTTGCTGACCAGGGCTCTCCCAAGGTGGGCCAAGGCACGGGGAGCGGGACCCCCGGGAGCCACGCATACCGTGCACCGCAAGCCGGAGGTGTTTTTGGGCTGTGCCAGCAGCACTCCTCGCTGTGCAGGTGTAGTGGCCGGCATGTGCAGGCAGCACCTGCCTGATCTCCAGGGCCCCTGGGAAGAGAGCAGGCAGAGGGGAGGCAGCAGAAGGGCTGGCAGGGACCCACCGCCCCACCGGAGCAGCACTGCCCCGTGCCTGTACCTGTGGGCAGGACGCGGTAGCCCCCTCCTCGGCTGCCCAGCTGAGCCCCCTCCTTGCTCCACAATACCGTGGGTGGGGGCACGCCAGAGGCATAGCAGGTGAGGACCGCGGGAGACAACCGGTTGACAACCACATCTGTAAGGTCATCAGCAATAGTGGGGGGCACTGGAGAGATGAGGGAAGGTGGTGAGCAGGGCTGCATGGCAAATACTGAAGGGCATCCCATCCCTATGCACGTGGGCATATTTCCCCCCTTGCCCACCCCTATGCCCAGTGCTTGAGAGGAGACCCAGCCCCGCGGAGGGGGGGCTGGATTGCACCCACATCACACCCAAGATGGTGACAGACCCTAGGAAAGCCGCTCTCGGTGAGACCCACAGCCCCCAAGGAGCTCACCGTGGATGGACACAAGGAAGACCTTGCGTGCCTCTCCGGCGGCATTGGTGGCAATGCACTCGAACTGCCCCTCATCCCGGGGACTGGGGCTGGTGATGAGCAGCGACCCCGAGGACTGCAAGCTGCACGGGCAGAGTAGACATCGGGGTCAGCCCCTGTCCCATGGGGAGCAGCAAGAGGGGACTGGCCCCACCCCACGGCAGGACCCTTCGGTGGGCGAGGTGGCTGGTGCTGTGGGTACCTGTAGGTACTGGGCAGGAGGTGTGGGTTCAGGGGGTGGCCATCCTTCTCCCACCTGACGTGGGGCTCAGGGGATCCCCAGGCGTCGCAGCCCAGCGTGGCCGGCTGCTGAGCCAGCAGGGTGAGGTTGGAGGGCCCGGGGGTGATGGCGGGAGGGACTGCAGAAGAGCATGGTGGCGATGAGCAGAAGACAGCAGCACATCGTTGTACTGATGAGAGCAGCCCAGCAGTGGTGTGTCGCAGGGGGGTGAGCCCAGGAGGGATCCATCTGGCTCTTCCACTTACCCAGGACGCGGAGGTCCAGGCCTCGCCGGTCAGAGCCAGCAGGGCTGGATGCCATGCAGAGGTAATAGCCCGAATCCTGGACCTGAACAGGTTTGATTTGCAGGGAGCCACCTGGCAGGAGCTGCAGCCTGGGGAGGGAGAGCAAGGGACCCCCATGGGGGCTCTGCACGGCCAGGCTGCAATGCATGGGGACACACGGCTGAGAAGGTGACCAGTACCATGACAGCCATGTGTGGCAGGTGTCTGCTGAGCTGATGTGGGGACAGAGCACAGCCCTTGGCCAAGGGACAGTGATTTCTCTACTCCAGACACACCAAAACACCTATTGATGTGGGGGGTGGCACAATCAGAGTGCCAGCTCTTGGTGCCTCCAACCCAGAGAGCCTCATACCTGTTGCTCCCACGGAGATGCAGGAGACGGCCATCCTTCTGCCACATCACCCGGGGCACGGGCCACCCCTCCGCCTGGCAAGGCAGGACTGCAGAGCCCTTCACTGCCGAGCCGTTCAGCAGCACCCTTGCCTCCTCGGGGCCCGGCTGGATCTCCGGGGCCACTGTAGCAGCACCAGCCAGCACCGCACAAAGTCAGAGATAGGGCTCAGGGGATGGAGAACGTCAGCCCAGACCAGCACTGGGGGCTGGGAACCATCCAACCCCCCCACTTCCCATTACCCCAACCTTGGGACACCCCATAATATTGCACATCCCAAAACTAGCAGAGACAGAGCTGGCATTTACTACCAGCAAAGCCCCGTAGCAGGGCATCATTGCTCACCGAGAACCTCCACCTGGACGCGCGGGCTGGTGTCCCCCCGCACGTTGGTGGCCCTGCAGCTGTACTCCC